TCGGTATAGTTTTCGACTCTGAACGAGGTGACTACAACTCTGTCACCGAGTTGGAACCCGTTCAGCAAAAAGCTCAGATAAAAGCCGCAGAGATCACCTTACTTCTGCGGAAACACAAGGATAAGCCAATGCATGGGGTCTTCTTCAATAACATTGGAGACCTTGGCTTATCAAAGCGTCTGACCTTCGCTTTCCTCAGGTCGAGTGGGCTGAAGTCGGAAACTGAGGGGTTCATCATGGCTTGCCAGGATGGCAATCCGGGGGATATTGAATCCGTTGTGGGGAACAAGAAGTGCCGAATTTATTGGAACTATTAGTTCCCCACCCTAAGGCTCATATGAACTAATAAGCCTGATGTGGTCCTTCTCGACCACCAGAGCAAAACGATATTTGTCCTGGAGTTTTCAGCTCCTGGCGAGACGAATATCATCAGAAAAGAGGAAGGAAAACGGATAAAATATCAAGATTTTCTCTTCGAACTCCGTAGACTCTATCTAGATCACTCTGTCAAGATGGTTTTTCTGATTATTGGAGTCCTTGGTGGAATGATGTCCTCTCTACTCTCGAATCTTAAAATCATACCGGCTTGCCGCACTAAGGTAGAAATCTTAGCCGCACAGATGCAGAAGGCTGTCATTCTTGGCTCACTGTGCTTGCTCAGGGCACATGATTCTCGGACCCAATGATCACTTACCCCACGGTGTGGGGGGTGTTAATTGGTTGATAATGCTGGCGCGCCCTCCCGAATGTATCAGGGCTTCGGTGGGCCTGACCAGCGCACACTACGGTGAAAAAACACTTATAATAATATTAATAATAATACATCTTCATTCACCATAAAAATAGAAATGGAATAGACAAAAATAAAATAAAACGGTATACAGGAACAAAAACAAAAAAAAAAACATTCAGTATATGGTGAATAGGCGGAGTATCAGTCAAGGCTGTTTTTCAAGTCAACCTGGGAGAAACTATAATTTAATAATATGAACCCCAGTCGAGTTAACAATATAAAAAAATAGTTATTGCTTCACTTTAGAATATTCATTTCAGAAATGCCAAGGTCGGGAACGGACAAGAGGCTAATGAGTTAAATAAGTTCAGTCTTCTTTTAAAGTTTACGATGGTGTATGATCGAAATTCGCAGGGTAGTTGATTATAATATTTGGGTGCATTATACGAGAAGCAGTGGGTGAAGATTGAAGATTTGTATTTGGGGATGACTAGAACTGAACTGTTCCTTGTAGTAAAGTTATTAATCATAGAGATTGTTTTAACCTTTTTAGTAAGTAATCAGGTTGTTGAGTAATCAAAACTTTATGTATGTTGGTAAGAAGGTGTAGGGTTCTAAGTTTCTCAACATTTGACCATCCTGATTCTTGCATATATGGTCATATTTCCGAATACCAAACGAGAAACGTAGACAGCTATTCTGAATACGCTGTAGTGGGAGAGCATCCGATTTTTTTAAAGCAGGTCCATAAATACTGTCGCAATAGGAAATTTTTGACATTATCAGTGACTCGCATAGTTTAAGTTTTAAGTTTGTGTTAAGCAAATCACTATTAGGAAAAAGCTGTCTGAGAACGTGATGAGAACATTGTTTCAGATAGCTGACATGTTTAGTAAAGCGAAGATCCAGATCAAACCTCAACCCTAAATTTTGTATCTCGTCCACGGAGGGAAGTATATCGTTTTCGATGCGAATTCGAAAAGTAGAGTTGGTGAGCTCTCTGTTCTTCTTAGCTCAGAACATAATAATTGCGGATTTGTCAGAATTGAGCTTGAGCTTATGGGCAGTAGAAATGTCAAAGATGGCTTGGAGATCGTTATTAATATAAGACAGAGCAGATGTATTCTCGCCAGGCGAAAAAGAGAAATATAACTGCGTGTCGTCTGCATAGTGATGTGTATTGCATTTTTTACGGACAGATAAAAGTCACAAATATACAACCTAAAAGGCAAGGGCCCAAGGATAGATCCTTGTGGCACTCCCTTTAATACCGGTAGAGCTTCTGAAATAACTTCATCCACAACAACTATTTGAGTACGATTCTTCAAATAGTTTTCTAAGAGAGACACTGTTTTCCGAGAAAAACCGAAGTAGACAAGTTTGTCACACAATATCTCATGATCTAGAGTGCCAAATGCCTTGCTGTTATCTAGAAGTATTAAAGAGGTCAAATTTTGTTCATCTGCAGCTTGAAAAATATCTTCTGTAATTGACAGAAGAGCCGTGGTGATACTATGCTGAGGTCTGAATCCTGATTGTACAGATGTTACAATATGATTTTCATTGGCGTACTCATTAATCTGATTTTTCATAATCGATTCCACTACTTTAGAGAGATACGGTAGAATTGTAATTGGTCTTAGGTCCGAAAGGATAGTAGGTGAGTTACACTTAGCCAGAGGGATAACCTATCCATCCTTTCAACATTTTTTAAATTGGCAACTGGTAATGATAAAGTTTATGAGAAAGGTGAAGTGATTTATCAAAAAAGAGTCAATGAGATTGATCATTTTGAGGGATATCCTGTCATTACCTCATATTATGTAGTTAAATGTCGAAGTATTCAGGCAAGTATTGAAAGTTCCGCCAGTTTGTAGTAGTTGAAGATATTGAATTATATTCTAGGGTTGTGAAGCATTTGTTAGGAGCCCTTTCCATTTAATTTTTTTTCCAGATGGCGCCCAGCCGCCATCTTGAGAGTTTCATCTGTCAACTTCACTTCAAAATGAAGTATTCAAGCATTGATTTCATTATCGCAAATTTCAATTTTTTTGAGTTGACCCGTTCAAAAAATAAAAGGGGGGGACATTAAAGAAATACCCTGTATGAATGAAACTACGAGGTTATTTGAGAAAACGGAACTTCAATCTTGTAACTCAACTTATTCCAATACCTGTTCTGTGTTTTTGATCCTCACAAGGATTATGTTCACAACGTTTCGGCCAAGTCTCATTTGCCATCTTCCGGTTGTGTCTGGAGTTTAGAACTAGTTCTAGTTCTTCTCACTACTCAATTCGTCGTTCAATGTAAAGGTTAACACTAATTCGTTTATTTTTTTTTTCAGATGGTGAATATCTCTTCGCAGAACCAGAAAGCAAGCTTTCGAAATATGCCCCAAAAAGTTGGCGGTCCTCTCATAGCCATGGACTCGACGCCAACGGTCGTCCAGCCCTCGCCTTCTACTTCCGTGTCCAGTTTTACGTGGACAGCCCGTTGCTGCTCAGAGATGAGACGACGAGACACCATTACTACCTTCAGTTGCGCCTCAATGCAGCCTCTGGGGCGGCAGGCGATCACTCTACCCATCTGGCCGGTCTCACCCTGCAGGCGGACTTGGGGGACCACGACGAGAACACCACATTCCGACCGGAGGATTACGTCCCGCCCAACATGCGGGGCCCTGCGGCCCTTAGGATTATCGAGGCAGCGCACAGGACCCACAGGGGCCTGTCGAAAAGTGAAGCGCGGGCGAGGTTCATAGCAGAGGCGTGTCTGCTACAGGAACCAGTTAATGCTCACATATTTAGGTAAATGGCTGGTAAATTGTATACTTAAAATAGCCATCCATTCAGTTTGAAATTTCGGTTGGTATAAATCCTTGAGGGTATCATTAGAGACAACCTCCCTGTTATGTTAATGCTTTTTTTAACCTCAAATGTTCAACCAAACTACCTGAAACTTGATTGATTTATTGGAAAAATTAAGGCAGCCATGTGTTTGATAGGAAATTAGAGCAAACTTGTAAAAATTCAATGTGCTACCATACATGTCACAAATTAAAATACACACATCGCCAAAATTCTTGGACCCCCTTATGTTCGTCTAAATCGATTGATTGATTAATAGCACTTTATTTCCAACAGGCATTCACCCAATTACAGGAAATGTACAAAGGTGTTGATGAAAATATATGCAAAACAGTATAATTAGTTTAAAAAAAAGATTGCTACAACTAAAAGAAAAATAAGTAGAAATAGAAATATATCACAAGAAGCGAAAAGAAAAGGTGAACACAGTAAAAAGGTTCTAGTGAGAATACATTTTAAAATAAAACTTTGAGAACTGTGATTAATATCGCACATATCACTTATTGAATTATAGTTGTTACAAAGTATTGACTTTGGAGCTTTCAAACTGTTATTTGTTCTGACAAGATCACAGCAAAATTTCGTTTGGTATCTGGAATTAAGGCGTGGGGTGCGGAAGTTGATCATTTGTAAAAGAGGGGCACACGAGATCTTATTGTTTAGCAGTTTGTGAAGAAAGGAGATTGTGACAAAAAGTCGTCGTGTATTCAGAAATATTACATTAAATTGATTCAGAAGGATAGAATAGTCGGTTCCCCTCTGAGGATATATTCCTGTGACCTTGAAAGACAGATATTTAAAAAAAAAATTTTTAACAGCATCAATGTGATGTATGTGGCAATTGTAAATTGGATACCATATTAACACGACGTATTCTAGTTTAGACTTCACATAGGCATTAAACAGTGTTATAATCGTATCAATGTTCTTGAATTCTTTGGTACTCCTTATAATAGAGCCCAACATTCGATTCACTGCTAAAATAGCCTGGTCTATATGGAAAGTGAAAGTGAATTTATAATCAAAAGTGATTCCAAGATCTGTCATCTCATTTACTCGACTAACTGGAATGCTGTCAATAACATAAGAAAATTCTATCATATTCTTTTTTCTAGAAAATTATAAAATGTAACATTTCGATATGTTCAAACGTAAATGGTTCTTGGAACAGCAGTCGAATACTAAATCGATTTCATTTTGTAAAATTAAGCAGTCTTCATAATTGTCAATTACTTTGTATAGCTTTAGATCATCAGCGTAGAAGTTTTGCCACGTCATCAATGAAAAGCTGAAATAAAAGAGGCACTAAATGAGACTCTATTATCATAAGTCAAGAAGTGTATTACAAAGTACATTTAATTCGGTTATGTAACCAACGCAAATCGGCTGAATTTAATTTTAACTGAACAAAAAAAAAATACAAACGAAAAATAGTGCATAATAAATTGATCACCAGAATCTGAAATGTAGAAGAAAGCCATTTTAGAGCGAAATCAAAAATGCATTAAGATTCAGTGTGTCCTCCCCCGTTCTGTAATAAGGTGTTAACTTGCCTGTGCATGGAAACAATAAAGGCGTTAATGGTATCCATTGGGATCTTGTTCCATTCTACTTGGGCCGCGAGTGTGAGTTCCGGGAGGGTGCTAGGATGATTAACTCTGTTTGAGATTGCTCGTTTAACGAAATATCACATGTTCTCCATGGGATTCATGTCTGGTGAATTTGCTGGCCACGGTAATCTTAGAATATTCTCAATCCCTAGGGCATTTTGTTCTCTTCTCGTGCGATGGGGCCTAAGCATTGTCCATGAAAATGAAAACATAGACAATGCATTAAATTTTAAAGAACATGTATCTCATTTGAGTAAAATAGTATCTAGTGGATGTTATGCTATTAGAGTGATATCAAATGAACTAGGGTACACTACACCTAGAATGGCTTACTTTGCATTGATCGAATCTCATATTCGCTATGGAATAGTTTTCTGGAGCCATTGTAGTGTACTGTTACAGAATACGATATTTGTGCTACAGAAGAGGTGTTTGAGATACCTTACAAAGTCTAAGCCGAGATATCACTGCAAGCCTTTATTCATAAGATGCAAAATATTAACTGTCACCTGTTTATACATAGTAACAGTATGCTCAATTCATTAAAATAAAACTATCATGTACACTCCCGGAACAAATTGTCACAACACCAGACAGAATCATATGCTTTACTTACCTATTCCAAAATTCACCTTGACTCAGCATTCTCTGATTTATGAAAGTATTAAAGTATATAATCACCTTCCTACCATTCTAAAAAATGGCACAGATATCAAAAAGTTCCGAAATTTACTTAAAGATCATTCATTCAAAAAAGCTTATTATTCGTTCCATGAATTCTACCATGATAACCTATAATGTTCACCTAAACTCATCTGTCTTCTTAATGTTTTATTTGTGAAATTACTATGTTTGTATTTTCTATATTTTATGTCATGTATTGTATTTTGTATTTTTTATATTTTATGACTTTCATTTGATTTTTTTACAAGACTTTGTCAATAAGATACTAATCTTCCGACAATAAAACATATTGATTGATTGAACATTCCAAATGAGTTTCACAAATATAAATATTTTTTCCAGGTTAAGGGCTGCCAAATCTGAACAAGCTCCAGGGTCGATTCTCTTAGCTGTATGTCCTAGAGGATTGAAAGTAAGCCCCGAAAACAATCCTCCTTCTATATTTCTTTGGATTAATATAGCGAAATTAAGTTTTGAACGGAAGAAATTCGAAATACGTACCAATCACGAAAAACTCACTCTATATACAACCAGCGATGAGAAGAGTCGTTTGCTCTTGGGCCTGTGCAGAGCTGCACATCAATTCAATATGGCTGTGACGCCACGTCTCAATGAAATGAAACGTGTAGAAGAAGAACGACAACGATGGGATGGTGATCAGCGAGTATCGGTTATCAGTTCCACGTCTTCAAATACCACTTCAGGAATTGTCAGTGATCGGGTTCATTCTGAAGACGAGCTCGAGATCATGATTACCAGTCCGCCAGCTCCGTCAACAGAGAGTTTGGCTCTAGCACACCTGCTGGACAGTGCGCCTGCTAGCAGCCGAACTTCTGCAGCATCTGCAACCGCAACTTTTGCAACGCTTCCTCTTGAAGAAGAAGTAGAGGAGAAGCCTACGTTGAGCGAAAGTTCTACAAAAACTACGAGTGGAAAATGCGCAGGATCACAGTGTAGCTCTTCCTGTAGCACCATAGTTGTCACTCCAGTACAAAACAGTGAGTTTAACTTGCATTTTATGTGTTTTATGTAGGTATTCTCTATTCATCCATGAAATTTTGTTCCTTTATCCTGCCACCCTTTTTTTAGTTCCCTGTGGCCCAGCTTTTATCGATTATCTGGCTTCCATTTCAAAACTTTTTGAAGTATATGACTGTATAACCTTCTTATAGGTCTATAACATTTCAAAAAAATAATGAGTGTTTTTTTTGTTGGTATCTTTTTGGCAACACTGCTTTTGACAGGTCGCGCGGGAATCGTGTTTTGTGTCATTGTCAAACTTATTCAGTTTGGTCTATCATTTAACCTTGAAATTATTGAATTTTATTATCAAAATTCATGCTCGGTAAAGAAAGTGCATCGTGCACTTCTTCCAATTTATGGGCAGTTTCTTCGGCCTACTGAGGGAGCTATTCGGAAGCTTGTGACTAAATTTCGAACCCAGTTTACATTATTGGACATTAAACCACTAAGACGCATATGTAGAGTGAGGACCGAATAAAATATTACGTCTGTATCCGCCAGTGTTCGTAATAATCGTGAAATGTCGATTCGCCGCCCGCCGCCGTTCGCAGCGAACGGGCCTCTGTTATTCCACTACGGGGAAAATTTTGCGAAAGTATTTGGGTGTAAAACTTTATAAGATACAGCTTGTGTAAGAATTGAAGTCACACGACCTCCCACAACGTCTAACATTTGGTGAATGGGCGCTGGCAAAGTTGCAGGAAGATCCACATTTTCATTGAAAAATTGTGTTCAGCGACAAGCCTCATTTCTGTTTGAATGGATACGTTAACAAGCAAAATTGCCGTATCTGAAGTGAATACCAGCCACAAGCATTGCAAGAGCTACCGATGCATCCCGAAAAAGTCACTGTTTGGTGTGGATTATGGGTCGGTGCCATCATCGGGCCGTACTCCTTCAAAGACGACAATGTCAGGAACGTTACTGTGAATGGCGAGCGCTACCGTGTGATGATTGACGACATTTTGTTGCCCAAAATGGATGAATTGGACATGCCTGACATGTGGTTTCAACAACACGGTGCCACATGCCACACAGCACGCGAAACAATGGCCCAATTAAGAACCGCCTTCGGTGAACAGTTTATCTCACGTTTGGGGCCCGTCTATTGGCCGCCTAGATCGTGTGATTTAACGCCTTTGGATTATTTCATGTGGTGTCATGTTAAGGCTCATGAATACAGGGATAAACCTGCAACGACTGACGCTCTGGAAGCGAATATTGAAGCATTTATACGTGAAATACCGGCCGATATGTTAGAGAGAGTGTGCCAAAATTGGACCTTGCGCATTTCGGATCTGATTGTGGGAAGATATCCATCATGCAAAAGTGTTAGTCACACATTAGATTCGGATTCAGACTATGTAACTCTGCCGTCATCTTATCAAGGATATATTCCAGTGCCGCCAGCGAGGATAGATAGCGTCGAAGAACGTTTCAGACCGCCACCTCCCCCATATGGTGCTCAGTTGAACAAATTGCCGATAACAGAAAGTACTTGCCCAGAATATGATGATGACAACTCTATATCAGAGTCTTTGATGAGAAGTCCTCCACCATATCCCGATAATCCGACGCCAGTTCCTCCGCCAATGTATCCGTACGAAGAAGCGGGAGCTAGATTCATTACCGCAAGGCCGCTTAGTGCTCTAACTGCCCGTGCAAGTACCGTCAGTAATACTTCGACTCCAAGTTACTCAATTCCGAAGATACTACCTCCAATTCCACCTAAAATTCCAAAACCTCCCAAAATTTCTAGACCACCACCTCAAAAACTGAATACCATCGTTTCTCCTAGTAATTACCTCGACGTAGCAGCAAGTAAGGCAAGTGTATTAGTTCCCTGTACCTTTCTTCCTCCTCCTCCGCCAGCACCTAGACAACCACCACCACCTCCTCCACCTGCTCTAGCAACTGTGTATACCAGTCAGCTGTCTAGATCGCAAATTGAACAGTATCAGCAGCAAATGTATAGTGACGTGGATTTTGTCGTGTTTCCTCTGAAAGAACCTGCCATAAGCAAACAGGAGTACTTGGAAGCTAAACAGGGGTCGCTACTGGCGGCTCTAGCTCACCAACCAGTTTTCTACCGAAGCACGCCTTACCTAGGAAGATACGCGTCAAGTCAGAATCTGTCTGAGACATATCTTCAGTTACCTGTTTATGGTGCTCCTAGCATTGCGTCTACTGGAAGTCTGGATCCTCCACCGCCTTTACCTCCGAATCGTCCTGCAAGATTCATACGAACCAGATCCGATGACAATATTTTGAATTCACTGGATACAGCGCAGCCCCCAAAGTTCAGAAGGCTGCCTCCACCTCCACCGCCCATTCCGGAGAATCAGTCTTCTCATCTGGAGGTGCACAATCCCCCGTTGAGCGATTCCAAGAGAAGTGTTAGTGAAAAGACTTTGAATGGCACTCTTACTGAGAGAGCGTCGGCTCTGGATATCCGCACACTTCGGGAAAAAAGTAAGAAAATGGACTTGCCGTTGATATCAGCGTTATGCAACGACAGGTCGCTTATAAAACAAACAAAGGCATTTGTTATTCCTAAACACTCGAGTGATGTGATTGCGCGGCATTCAGTGAGTTCATCGGTATCGAAGTATCCTGTTACTGGGTTGAGTAGTACCATTAATAAAACCAGCAGGAAGGCGTCTTCCATCAGCCATAGGCATCCTAGCGATAAGTTGCCTGAAATACCTCGGGCTACTCCTAACAACTATGTGTTTACTGATTCACGTGTTAAACACAAAACTATGCAATCTCATTCGTGAGTGTGCGGACTGAAAACATTCCAGTGTAAGAGTAAATTAAATATCATTTTGTTTCACTCAGGGTGCCATCATTGCAATATATTTTATAACCGGGAACCGATTTTTGGCTGATAGCAATTCCTCATTCGGAATGTCGAACCTCAGCCATTCCTGTTTGTACATAAAAGCTGTGTTGTATAATGCACGAATGATTTACAGATTATTAGCAATAGTGTATACAGTTGCTCAACTTTTATAATTAAAATACTGATAGTTTTAATATTGTTCAATGTTTTTATTTATTATCTGAATCGAAATTGAAGAAGCTTCAGATGTATGATGCAGCCATCATACACGAATAAAAGAAAAGAAGTTACACTGAATTTTTTATTATCACACCTCCAAAAGAGTTTCATAAAATTTCAGTTATAAACAAAACTTAGTACAGTTTCATGTCACTAATTTCGATACCCAAATCATGATAAAAACCAAGTATTAAAAAACTGTTGTCTATAACTATACAGGGTGTAACTAAATAAGTGTAAAACCTTTAAGGAGGTGATTCCTCATCGAAAAAAAGATAGGATCTTTCATATAAAGAAATTTCATTGGAGCATCCCTTGATAAGATACAGCCCCTTAAAAGGGGTACATAAAATTTGTATGACAAT